TTAAGCACCGAGTACGAGTACAATCGTTGCATTCCGTTTACCTTATGCAGCATTTTCTAGAGCGAGACCGTTTTTGCGCCCTCTACGTTTGTTCCGCCAAAACTTTCATCAAAGCCGTTGTTTTTTGACTACTTCCCAACGACGGATGAGATCGGCAAGCGATGGATTCCAAGCACTGCAAAAAAGGATGGTGTTGATTCGGAAATAGCTAAATATAACGGTTTGTAGCTCTTTATGCCTTGCACAATGCTCAGATCTTGTAAATTTTTGAAATTCTCTGCAGGTAAATGGGAAATCGGCCCATCGTCCGAGGTGTCTATTGAAGGCGATTATGGATTGATCGTCCGCACTAAAGCAAGGCATCATGCAATTGCTGCGAAATTGGACAAACCTTTCAGTTTCACTGATAAACCATTAATTGTTCAGTGGGTTACCTTATATCGTTTCATTTTCAACTTTGGGTATTTATTTGTTGACCATGTTTGGATATACCGTGTCTTCACTTACTTATACTGGAAATTAGAGGCTAGGGTGGCTTTATGTTAACGCCAAATCCTTAGCTCTTTTCCAAATTCTTGGAAATGTAGAATTTATAATTGAAGGCGGTGGTTGTCTAAAAGGGAAGTTTTTTCAATCTTTCTACCATATGTAAAAATCCATGGAAATCATTGATTTCAAAGGAATCGAGTGACACTCATCTTCTTTTGACGATAGCCACGTTCAGTTGACTGTTGGTATACTGTAACCTCCCTCCCCTTGTAAAAATGCTTGACGGAAAACAGGGAACGTTACCTTTTTCTTTCGAACAAGTTTTATCATGGTCAGAAAGTTCTGATTTTTTATTTTTCTTCTTGCAAATGGTTTTTCTATATTTCTAGTGCAAGGAACACTTGCGCATAGCTGTATGTGTGCAAAGAAAATTAAACTTGCTTTTATTGTTCCGTTTTGTTTAGATATGAGGTTCGTTATGAAGAGGGTCAAGAATGTGGAGGAGGGTATCTGAAACTGCTGAGCGAAGGTGCTGAAAAGAATCTGGCTGCAGTACAGGTGAGTTAGTATTAGGACCCCTATCCTTTGAGTTTTCATCCAAATTCAACTGTTCTGTTATTCAGGATAAAACTCCGTACACTATCATGTTCGGCCCGGATAAGTGCGGGCCTACTGGCAAAGTCCACCTGATCTTCCGGTACAAAAATCCAAAGAACAACACAATTGACGTGAGTTTACCATCTTCATTTCCATTGAGAAGTTCCTTATAGTCGCATATTTAGGAGTATCATGCAAAACAACCGTCCAACATCGGATCCACCTACTGGGATGATCATCAGACGCATCTTTATACCTTGGTTGTTAAACCAGATGGAGCATTTTCGGTCTCAGTCGATCAGAAACAAATGATCTCTGGCAGCATGTTGAATGTAGGTTTCATTATGGATCCCGGATTTAATGCTTTCTTCTTCTCTCAGCTTTTTTTCTTCAGACTATCATTTTCCTTTCAGGATCTTGTTCCATCGCTGCAACCACCTAAAGAAATAGCTGATCCTACGGACAAGAAGCCAAGTGATTGGGATGACAGGTGCCAATTTTATTTTTTTTTACTTTGCCTGTATTTTCCCTTGAGTAGTATTTCGACGTACCTTCCTCTTTCGCCGTGAATGGAATATTTCATTGTGATGTGGGAAGTTTATTTTAGGGCTGAAATTGAAGATGAAAATGCCGTTAAGCCAGATGACTGGGATGAGAGTCAACCTAGCGAAGTTGTAGATGAGAATGCTGTGAAACCATCGGATTGGCTTGAAGATGAGGTTTGCGTTCAATTCATCGCTCAATATTTTTTTACTTGACGACATTTCTGATTTGAAAAGAGAGCAGGGGATTTAAGGTTAGCTTCAAGCCTTCGTAATTGGTTGCATTATTTGCTCATAGAATTTTGCTAGTTACCCAGTAACTACCTAGTGCAGCTACTTTATACTTGTTATACTTTATGCTGTTAATTTTTCCCAATTTTCAGTAATGTTTTATTTACAATGTTATTCGATGCAAACATGATATGTTTCTTGTTATGTCTGGGAAAGAGCTTCATATATTGCGCTTAGGGGATATTGACTTAAAGGATAGGAAGGGCGTGCGAGTTACGTAAGATAACGTAATTGAGCGTCACTGGCGGATGGCCGTCAGTGGTATGGTTGGAATAACCTTTCAACGCCTTTCACCGATGACGCTCAATTAATCATCAGCCCTGCTACGCCTCTCAACCATTGTAACCACTACCCATTGAAGTATCGGAAAATAACCTGCAAAAAAGGAAATTTTCTGCTTTGATGAGAGGTTTTTGAGAGCCGGATCATGATTTCGCAGTTTGGCTTGCAGTTTGAAGTATGAGAATAGTTCGAAAATGCAAAATGACTTGCAAAAAAAATTTTCTCTTTTCAAGAGACATGGGGAGACGGGTCATGGCTTCAGTTCGGTTTGCAGTTCGACTGTGGAGTAGATACGTGTTGATCTCGAGTGGTCCCACGGTCGCCTGTGTAAATGACACTTACTCACTCCACGAGATATAAAATAAACGCAAGATCGCAAAATCGCGGAATCGCAAGGTCGTAAAGTATGAGCCGACCCTAATAGAAAAAAAACAGCTCTTGACTCGTTCGCCAGTGACATCGTTTGGTTACGAATATTCTTTTTACGGCATTCTAACTCATGGTGTCAGAATAGAAATACTCAAGAAGAAGGTTCCGCTAGGTCGTATTGTTTTAGCCAGAGCTGATTCCGGATCCGGAAGCATCAAAGCCAAGCGACTGGGATGATGACATGGACGGTGACTGGGAACCGCCCATGATTGACAACCCAGCTTGCAAAGGTATCAGCGGTTGCGGCCAGTGGAAGAAACCACTTATCCCAAATCCACTTTACAAGGTTCGATCTTTTCCTGATTTCTTATTTCAATATTTTTTGTTAGAACATTATTTTTTGTTTGGCGCTTAAGAATTCCTTCGTAACTATAATGTTTAACGAGCATTGATCGAAATTTTTTTAGGGCAAATGGGTTCGTCCACGAATTCCAAATCCTGCATATCGCGGAGTATGGGCTCCCCGTCAAATAGAAAATCCTCACTACTTTGAGCCGAAACCATTTGAAGGCCTCGCTCCAATAACGGCTATAGGTATTGAGCTATGGACAATGAGCCAGAATATCATTTTCGGTAAGTTCAGTTTGCTCATTTATCGTTGTTCGCCAATTTTAATTCCCAGATTTCGTGATTCGTAAAAAAATATTGATTTGCTTCAGACAACATTCTGGTCTGCGAATCGGAAGATTTAGCAGCTGAGGTTGCCAAGCAGACTTATACTGTAAGACGTGCGGAAGATGCGCGACTGGCTTCTAGTCAAGGCAAAGGAGCGGGAATAGTACAGGGTATAGTGGATGCTGCAAATGTAAGTTGACCATGGTTTGCTTGTTATCTTTATTTCCCATACCTACCTTTATTTTGTTTTTGTCTTTACTACTCACTATTTACTCCTTACTTTTTTGAGCGTCTATGTTCGAGTAGGTGCAGTTACCTATATATGCTATAATACCTATTCATTTATTTTCCATTTACATTCGTTGGTTAAATCGGCACTATTCCAGTAACTACCCCAAAACTCAAATTTTATTTTTCATCGAATTCTACAGAGGTTTTTCGATACCCTGATCACGATACATCGTATTCGTTTTTTACTCTGGGCGTCAGCTGGCGCCACTTTGTCACCAGCTGTTTCCACTAAATTCGGTGTAAACTTGTATAAGGATGATTGGTGTCCTGCTTACGAATATGACATTCGTTTCAAAACTGGCGCAGTCTACTGCATGTTTTCTACTCTCCTGGCCTCGCTCACTCATAGTTATTTGCAGTACCTAAGGGTAAGCTTGCTGGGAGTGTACCCCCGTTGGCATAATTTGCGGCTCGTATGGCAAGATCGCAGGTGTGTAAGATGCTCAGCGTGAGTGGCTTGCTCACCTCTGAGCCTCCTCGCCCCAAAGGCTTGGTCCTGATTACGATCAAACCAGCGAGAATGCGCAGACGAGCAGGAAATAGGCGACAAATGGAGCTAACGCCAAAAATAAATGTCATACTCGTAATCAGCACTTCAAATAACCCCTACATACAGGTTCAAACCAAGTTAGGTGAAAACAGGCGTCGTGACAAGGTGGCACCAGCGTCAAGAATGAATATCATATTTGTAATCACGGCATTGCAGCTATAGGAGAAGTTTCGAGGGAAAATAAAATTTTGAGATTTTGGTGCAGTGACAGTGGAATAGTAATGTTAAATCTAATAATGAGTAATATTTCTCTGCTACTTCGGTTGTGGTTCTCTTCGTTGGAAATTTTCCAGTGTTTGTGATTTTTCTCGAACGCTTTTTTCTTTGTAACCCGCACAATTTTCCTCGGCATTCAACTTTGAATCCTGACCTTTTTGAACGAATCGAGTGTTTTTAATTTTTACTCTTGAATTCGATTTGCAACTGTTCCTTTTTGTTTACTGCAGATCTTCTTCTGATTTTTGCATTATTCTGGCAAAGAAGAAAAACAGTAATACATATTCTTAACTGATGCATTTGCTTGAAATTATACAATGGATCATGATTGATATTATAGGAACGGCCGTGGTTGTGGGTTGTCTATGTGCTCTGCGTCTTGATTCCAATCATTCTCATTGGTGTGTGCTGCTTCGGTCGCAAATCCAATGCCGACTATGCTGCTGACAGGAAAAAGACTGATGCTCCCGATATTGATGACGAGGTAAAGATTTATGCTCGGATGGTATCAATCTTGCAATTCTGAACGTTGTTTTTAAGGTTCCCAATCTGGTTGACGACGAGGAAGACGAGAAGGATTTGGACGAAGCAGAGATTGAAGAGGTAGGGAAATTTGTCTCAATAATGCAGGAAGTCACCAATTGTCATTATTGTGATGTTTCTAGGCTGAGCAGATTTCCGAAGAAAAGCACAGTCCACATGGAACGCCAAAGGCAGAAAAAGATGCTCAAAAGGTTGTGGAGCTGGAGGTACTTACCGTAAAATGTATGCCAGAAAATCGTTATATTATAATGGTTCAGGACGATGAGGGCAGCAACAGCGAACCCGAGGTGGTAAACGTGGAAGCAGAAGAGGCTGGACCATCGGCTGCTAAGAAGTCACCAATTGTCACGAAGAGGCGTGTCCGTAGGCAAGATTAAGTTATTCGGGATGAGCTCGAGGCTGAGTTGTGCTCCCAACGTCACTGTTTCGTTCCCGTTGTGCCCACAATTGAATTTGTTGCTGATTTTTGTCGATGTGTTTGCCTTTTTCATCGGCCAACTTCTCGTAATTTACGTTTGGTCATCCACTCTGTGTATTCATCAATTTAGCCGCCGTTTTTGCGTGCATTGTTATCACATGCTTTGGCCGTGTTCACTGCAATTTTTTTGCTCGCTCCTGTGTTCTTGTGTTGTCATTGAATTCCCATAGTGTTCTCCCACTTTGAGACCGGTTACAATGTAGGATTGTGTCGTACCTGTTTTTGTTTCTTATTAGTTGTTCTTTTACTCGTTTTTAATAAATCGTTGCCGTTATGTAGCAGATACTGTTTGTATGTTGCTTGGTTTTAACCACAGTAAAAAAATCGGGAAGAAAGTGGTGCCAAGTGAGTGAAGGGGTGGGGGGCGTGAACGAGGCGGTTTTTACTCGTCTGGGACGGTAGTAAAGTGCCATAGACTGGGAGTTAAAGGTGGTGAACTACGGCCGTAACGGTGAATAATGAAAGGCGAGACAGCCAGATGACCCCGCTCTGAATGGCGAACTTCACTACATTCCTAGCAAAAGTCGCGTCGCCATGGACTTGAACCATGTAATGCAGCGCCCATGAGCGCGACGTTTGCCACTGCACCACAAAGCATTGCTGGGTTACTTTGAAAGAATTGTAGAAAGCAAGGTAGTAACCTATGAGGGTTGCAAAACACATGCATCATGGAGAATTGATCCCGCGAGCGATCCAATGTCAACAAGGACGAACCCACTGTGCCAAGCGACGTGTTTGAAATGTGGGATCATGGCCTAAATGGGGCCTAATGGCCTAAATGATTGTACAGGGGTGACATGCTTCCAAGACCAAGGAAGGAGCATATAATACGATTAAATATATACAGGGTGTCCCAAAATTATGGGCGCCTACACACAGCAATATATTTCAAGCTTCTAAACGGACGATGCTGACTGAATTTACACATAAGGTAAATTGCATCATCCCCAACAATGTGGAACAACTAGATATCGAAATACTCTCCAACGCGACTAATGCAAGCTCGAAGTCGCTTCTTAGGCTTCGCGCACGTTGCACGCAGGAATTCCTCGTCTATTTCTTCTCAGGCTTCCTTCAATGTTCCTTCCAGTGACTCGAACTGTGACGAAGAACTTGACACACCTTACTTTCGCTCAACGACCACACTAAGAGGTGAGGTGGGCGCGAACCTGGTGAAAATGACGGCCGTTCCTCGGTGCCAGCAAAGTCGGGCAACTGAACTCGGCACCACACTTGGAGGAACTTGGCCATGTAGGCCTGAGCACTTTTCTGCTGGAAACAACTCGGGTTATTTCCAAGGTAGGACTCGTGCCGAGCCTTCATTACGTTCACCTCAAGTGTCCGGATTTGCTGATGAACTTACCGAAATCAAAGGAAAACTAACGGCCCCTTACCACTGGACGTGGTGTTCCTTTAAACCGAAATTGAGACCAAGTTCGGTGATTTGCAAACAATCTTTTAGCGTGGAGTAGCACTCCTGACATTTCTGCCCGGAATGCAATCTTTCTGGCTATTGCCAATCCGCTCTGCTATGGAAATTTTTTCCTCATAAGAAAGGGTGGTAGGGTGCGTGTCCTCACTGAGGCGGGTGAGCAACCTTCTGCAATCTTTGACCCTCTGTTGCTTGTTGATATCGAAAATGAGCTGACACTCCTGCATATGGTAGGAACGGCTATGTAGTTCTTCACTGACTACCTTTCCCATCGATGACTTCGATTCCTCCAGCTCCTCCGCCATTCTTCTGAAGGAGCGTCGTGGGTCGCGGTCAATTTGAGAATGGAACCTTTCAGACACCCTTCCGGCAGAACGGCCAGCCTTTCTACCTCTCTTAGGCCTATGCATAATGGACGCTGTTTCCTAGTATCGTAGGATAACCTTCCGTATAACCCTTGTGGAAACTACAAAATATTTGACATTGTCCTTCATTGGGGTATCCACCTCGTGCATGCGAATGATCGCAGGTCGCAGTGAAAGACCTCCCGCCCTCCTGAAGATAGTAGGGATTTCACACCTACAATCAAACAGGTTACAAGAGGACCTTTGTGTGTAACTAATCATCAGCAAATGAAGGGAGAATAATCGAGTACTTTTGCCAAACAAATTTTTGAATTTCGGCGCCCATAATTTTGGGACACCCTGTATTTGATAAGGTTGGATTTCATAACGAGTTTTTGACGCCACTTTAAATAGATCTCGCAATCCTTCATCCTTTGGCTATACTTTGTTTTCGAAACATTTCATGGCAGCAAAAATTTCAGGTGAATTTGTAAAATTTGTAAAATAAAATTTCAGGTCAAGAGTGTGTGCGCATTCCATGAGATTCAGAGACTCTGAGGATCAAGGCTTTGGAAAGGAGAGGGACGAATGAGATGCAGTCAAGGGCGGAGCTATCAGCGAGGGCGGAGCTGGTGACGTTAGTGTCGTTTTTTGGGCTGCATTCTGCTGCATTGATGACACATATCGACTTCAATGGAATATAGGCATTATTTTGGCTGCATGGACACATTCCACAGTGAGTTATCGGTGAGGATCGATATCATAGATTCCTGAAGGCATATTTTTGGAGTAATTTGAAACAAAAAATCGCTTGGATCGGTTTCGGTCAGCTTCAACGTCTCGACATTGATTTGTCTATAGACATTCCACGGCGATGATGCATATTAGAGAAACATTTTGTATTGATTCTTTCACGATCGGCTGGTAACGGCCGGCTTACATTTCATCTTATTTCACCACACTTCATCGAGTTCTGTCGGAAAATCGTTGTCATCTCTGATCTTTTGGATCGTCGGTGGCTTTCTATTGTCTCCTAGTGGAGCATTCTTCCCATCGGAGTGCTCTCCGATGGGAACCGACCTGGATCAGTGTTTCGTTTGTTTGCTCAACTGCTTCCCCTACATACGTCATCTCGCCAGTTCTTTCCCAAAACTTACTATGAAGGTCCACAACCTTACCCAAAGTCCATCATGGATAATTTTTGAACAAGTCTGGAAATGTAACAGCATAATACCTAGTAGAATAACAGGACAACCTAATAGTTCTAAGAGAGTTTGAAAGTTTCTGAAAGCATCTAGTTTTGTTTTCGCATACTTTTCTATATCTTATAAATTTTCCACAAATTGAGGGGCCATTTTGCCTCTAATCGGTATTTATGAGCTGACCTAAGAGCTTGGGTGTAAATATGGCCATTCCTGGAGCTGAGCCTGATTCGGAGGAAGATTCCACGATGAGGTCGAAATGTCGAAGAAGGAGAAGTATACGTAGTCGGAAGGCAGGCGGACTCCCTAGGGGTTCGGGACGATGTGCTTTTAGCAGCAAAGGTGTGGCCTTTTCCCCTCCCCCGGCAGCCTATCAGGGCCATACCTGCGCCGGCTTGTGCCGCTGTCCGCCTCCGACTGTAGCCGTTTAGCAGAGAGATAGAGAAAAAGTGAGTGGGTTGGTGAGAGAGTGAGAGAGAGCGGCAACGTTGAAGAGGGCAGCGACGATGAGAGTCGTATCAGTGAGGAAATCGACTGGTAGAGAAGGGGTCCATTTCTCGGGTTCTGGTCCGTTTTTCATAGTTTTTTCTTCATCACCTCACCTTTACCTAAGTTTCCAAAGGGTTCTGTTCGTAAACATCACCATTAATCTGTTGTGCAATGGCTAGGGCTGGCTATCTCCTCTTCAAGCTAATTGGTAGCTCAGATTCTCACATATTGTACCGATTTTATTTCGCTGTAACGTATAGGCTGACCTTGTTGTGTCTAAAAAGCGAAAAGCCATGCCATTTCGAAGGCCGAATAAAAATTAAAGCCCTT